AAAAATTCATCCTCCTTTTTTTCCTTTATTAGGGTTTTCTATTCGTGGTATTAGTCCCGCATCTGTTCCATTAACCAGGTTTCTGTGAATCTTGCTCAGGAACTAATTTTTAGTGCTACTTCCTCCAAAAGGAAAATTGATGAAGCTCGTGGCTCTGATGATGAGGGAAAAATAGAAGAAGGACCTTCAGTGAGAAAATCACGCGTTAGGAGACGCGTGATTTCTAATGATGAAACTCTTGCTTCTTATGACCCTCCATCAAGCTCCATTCCTTTCAGACTCATGAGCCAGAAAGTGCTCCTTTAGTGATTTCTGATGAAGAAAAAAAAATAAAACTAATGGGTAGGTTCTAATGTCAAAAAAACTACCATCTTTGTTAAAAAGTTACAACTAATTTTATAAACTCCATTATTTCTATTGAGAAGTATGTACATTGTAGAAGTTAGCTAGATGATTAAAAGTTAGTTAGTGAGTTAGTGTACAACTATCAACAACTATTATTTTATTCTTAAGGAGTTAGTAGTTAGTGATGTATGCATATATATATATANCATGTACAGTACATGCTTAATGTGAGATTCGATATTTTCCTAAAGGTAGCTCTCTTTCTTTCCTCTTCCTCCTCTGTTCCATCTTTGCTTCTCCAGTGATTGTGCCTCTTTAACATGATATCAAAGCTCGGCTAAACTCCGGAGAGTTCAACAATGGCGGACGATTGAGGAGAAAGTACAATTGAGTTGTTCAAATCCATAATTTGTTTCATTTACTTCAAATTACAGATGAAGATACAGTTTCTTCTTCAAGCTAGGGTTTGTTGATTTTGAGCAAATTCAACAACTTTTCTAAATTCCTGCAACAATTTGAGTGAGTAATTCTCTTCTATTTACAAATCTGCGAAGTTACTATGGCAATTAATGAAAATGAATCTACTTCGGCTATTGTTACATCGTCACCATCAGATACTCAGAACCTCAACTTAGTTCATCACAATCATCCTTTGTATATTCATCCTTATGATATTCAAGGTGTTGTTCTTATCTCGATTCAACTTCGAGGTTCGAAAAATTATTCTCTTTGGAGTAGATCTATGAAAATTGTGTTGCATGGCAAAAACAAGTTAGCTTTTATGATAGGAACCTGTAGAAAGGAGCTATCTGATGCGAGTGTTCATGAACTCTGGGATCGATGTAATGCTATTGTTTTGGCATGGATAATGAACATTATTGCTCCAAATTTACTGAGTACTATGATCTATGCCTCTAATGCACACAAGTCTGGGAAGATCTTCGTAAGAGATTTGATAAAGTAAATGCTTCTAGATCATTCTACCTTCACAAGAAAATTGCAAAGCTAACTCAAAATTTTCTAACTGTATCTGAATATTTCTCTAAACTTAGGGAGTTATGGGATGAATATGAAGCCTTAGCTCCTCTTCATTCATGTGGATGCCCTGAATCTAAGCAGTATGTAGAACACTATCAATTACAGAAATTGTATCAATTTTTGACTGGTCTAAATGACTCCTTTGATAATGCTAAATATCATATTATTATGATTCGGCCACTTTCAAATGTTAAACAACCCTATGTTATGATAGTTAATCTTGAGAGTCAAAGTAGAAACAATGCAGCTCTAAGTGACGGCATTGGTGTTTCTGTAACACTAATGAGTAAGGCTAACTCTGGGAATGGAAATAGTAGTTTCAAACCTAGAAACAATCTTGGGTGGTCAACACTACAATGTGACTACTATCACCTGAAAGGTCATACCAAGGATTCTTGCTATAAGCTCTATGGATATCCTGTTGATTTCAAGGCCAAAAGAAGAGGTTATTCAGGTCCTCAGGTGAACAATGCATACAATGCTTGAGGATTCCAAACTCTTGATCCTCCTCAACCTACTCCTCAGTTTTCCTCCCCTGTTGCAGTTTTTACTCAAGACCAATATGATCAGATCCTGCAAATGTTGAGCAAAGAAAAACATGTAGAATATGTGGCAAATGCAGCAACTATTAACAACACAGGTACTATAATAGCCTTCATGTCTCATCTAGTTAATAGTAACCGAATGGTAGACACACGAGACCCCAATCATATGGTACATAATTCTAAGCTACTAAGTGAAATCAAGGATCTGACTACTATGGATAGTAATAAGGTTCATCTTCCTAATGGTGAGCAGATTGCTATCTGTCTTTTTCAGGATCTCTTGAGTGGGAAGGTAATGGGGATTGGTAAGGAAGAGTTTGGGCTCTATATCTTGAAGTCAGATGTCTCTAAAGACTCAGTGCAGCTGCAGGATGCAAAGCAAAGTACCAGTCTAGTATCTTCTGTAAATATTGTCTCTAGTTCTAGTAACAATAAGGCAGTCCATACTAAGTCTACTAAGAATTGTATTTTGTATTTGTGGCACAAGAGACTAGAGCATGCACCTATGAATGTTCTACAAAATATTAGTATTTTACCTCATGTTCCTATGCAAGATCACCATTTCCTCACAGTACTTCTTGTTCTACTCATCCTTTTGAACTTGTGCATGCTGATGTTTGGGGGCCATACAGGGTCCCAACTCATGATGGTAAGAGATATTTTATGACATTGGTAGATGATTTCTCAAAGTACACCTTGCTATTTTTAATGAACACTAAGTAGAATCTATTGTTGTGTTGAAAATGTTTATAACACTAGTTCACCCTCAATTTGATAACAAATTTAGTGTCTCGGGTCTGATAATGGTACTGAGTTCTTCAATGAGCAGGTCAACAGTTTCTTAGTGCTACATGGAATTATTCACCAGAGGTCATTTGCATATACTAAGGGTGTCTAACGGGCCGGGTTGACCCGTAACCGTACCGGCCCAGACCGGAAAAAATTGGAACCGGCCCAGCCCGATACATAGGGGCCGGGTGGGGCTGGGTAGGAGGGGTAGAGGGGGTTGGTCCGTTTATTTTTTTTTAACGGTTAACCGGACCGGTCAAACCTGGTCCACGTGAACAGTACCGTGTACCGGTTTAACCGGCCCGGACAGAACCGGTACAACGGCTAAATCTTTTTCTTTTTTAAAAATTTTTTTTGAAATCTGTGGGGCCCACTAACCGTTGGCAACGGTCACCCCTGGCAGGGATCTGTTGCTTAACACCCTTAATTGCATTAATAGCCTCTTTTTTCTTTAAAATTTAACCTTTTTTCAATTTACAAAATTAACCTTTTCTAAAACTATAAATACCCCCCTCCTCTTCCTCATTTCTTCACTCATCTCTCAATTCTCATTTCTCAATCTCAATTCTCAATTCTCAAATCTCAATTCAAGTTAAATCATGCCTCGTACTTCTAAAGTGCGCTCATATGTTTGGCAACACTTTGAGGTGGAAGAAGAAAATGAAGAAGGTCAGAAAGTAAAGTGCAAGAACTGTGGTCAAGTCTTAAATCTTCGATCAGGGTCTGGCACAGGCAGTTTAAGGAGGCATATAAAGTATTGTCTTGAGCATCCTCCGGAAATTCGTATTTAAGATTTTAAGACAATTTGTGGTATTTTAAAATTATTAGACGTATTTATGTTTAATATTTTAGTTTGTTAGATTAATATGAAGTATTATTAATTTATTATGCATGAAAATTTAGTTTAACTATTTTTTTGTTAATTTACTTTTTAAATGAAAACTTTAATTTTGTAATTTCGAAATAAATGTAGCACTTGCAATTTAAAAGTGCAATTTTTTCTCATCTTCCTTGTATTCTTTATGTTAATACTTTGTATTAATATAACTTACAATAGTTATACAAAATACCAAAAACAAAATACACTAAACTCGGCCCAGCCCGACTCCCTCAACCCGTAACCCTTACGATTCAATTTTTACCCGAATGAACCCGAACCCGTTAAACCCGATAAGACCCAACCCGTAACCGGCCTGGATAGTTCAAGCATTTGTTCCACTACAGTTCTGGGGTGAGTGTGTTTCTACAGCAGTTTATATTTTGAATAGATTGTCGAAAGTCTTGTTGAAGGGAGCCTCTCCTTTTGAGAAACTCTATAACAAGGTTCCCTCTCTTTAGCACTTACGGGTCTTTGGTAGCCTGCGTTATGCCACCTCAGCTAGAAAAGCTAATAAATTCAGTCCCCAAGGTCATTCCTATTGTACATCTAGGCTACTCTTTTGTGCAAAATGGATACATTTTGTATGATATTCACTCTAAATTGTTCTTTGTAAGCATGTACACTGTCTTAAGGAGGATGTTTTTCCCTTCAAGTATGTTATATCCAGTTCCTCTTTTTTTTCCTATTTTGGATCTATCAGAAGCTGATTGCTCTTCTCTCAATTGCATTCCTACTCCGGGGAACACCACAGCCGAGTCACCATCTTCTATTTCTAGTCAGCCTATTGGTCCAAGTCAGCTGGTTTTTTATCATCATCTACAGTCAAGCTCCTCTAATACTGCTGATCCACCTCCTATTAGGAAATCATCTAGGACTTATGTTCCTCTTATATGGTTGAAATATTATGTTGTACCCTCCAAAGGAGCAGCCTATAATTACTCTATTTCCAAGTATGTTTGCTATGATAAGTTGTCTCCTGCATATCAGGCTTGTCTTGCTGCCTACTCACCTGTGTCTGAGCCTACCTCCTATGCTGAGGCAAGTAATGATCCTAAGTGGATAGAAGCCATGTAGGTTGAGATTGTTGCTCTTGAAGAGAATCAAACCTGGTCCATTATGGACCTTCCTCCTGGCAAGGATCCTATTGGTTGCAAGTGGGTATTCAATGTTAATATAAGTCCATTAGGGGTTAAAGAGGTATAAGGCTCGACTGGTTGTTAAGGGGTATAGTCAGCTTGAAGGTCTGGATTACAAAGAGACTTTTTATCCTGTAGCCAAAATGGTCACAGTGAGGTCTGTAGTGGCTTTGGCTGCAGCATCTGGCTGGTTTATATTCCAAATGGATGTGCACAATGCATTTCTTCAAGGAGATCTTCTTGAATAGGTCTATGTGTAGATCTCAAATGGCTTTGTCAGCCAAAGGGAGTGTCATCAACAGGTATGTAGACTGCATAAGTCCTTCTATGGGCTCAAGCAGGCCCCTAGACAGCGGAACCTGAAGTTGCCTTCTGCTCTGAAGGATATAGAATTTGTATAGTCTCATTATGATTACTCTCTTTTCACACAAAGGGTAGATGGTGATCTGATAGTAATTCTGGTATATGTTGATGACCTTCTGGTTACGAGGAATAACTTGGAGCGTATTTATCAAGTAAGGACAAATTTGCAAGCTAAGCTCAAAATGAAAGACTTGGGAGAATTAAAATTCTTTCTAGGAATTGAGTTCTCCAGATCTAAAGAAGAAATTCTTATAAATCAAAGGAAATATGTTGTTGAGTTAGTGTCAGAGTTGGGATTAGCTTGTAGAAATCCTGTTGCTACACCTCTGGAGTTCAATCACAAACTCACCTCAGTAGCATTTGACAAATTTATGAACAAGGGAGAAGCCTCTACAGATGCACAACTTGAGGATCCAAGTAGCTATCAGAGATTGGTAGGCAGATTGCTACACTTGACAATGACAAAGCCAGATATTGCCTTTGTTGTTCAAGTACTTAGCCAGCATATGCATGCTCCCAAGTAGTCACATATTATAGAAGCAACACAAATGGTCAAGTATGTCAAGGGAACTACAGGACTGGGACTGTTTATGCCAACAAAAGGAAACAAGCAATTAGTTGCCTACTGTGATTCAGATTAGGGTTCATGTGTGGAGGAAAAAAAGTCTATCACTGGTTATATAGTTAAGTTTGGTGGAGCATTAATCTCTTGGAAACCCAAAAATCAAAGCACAGATTCTAGGAGTTCTGCTGAATCGGAATTTAGAAGTATGGCAGCTAATGTTGCTAAAGTTACTTGGCTAGTTGGCTTGTTTGGAGAGCTAGGAGTTACAGTGAATACTCCTGTACAGTTATTCTGTGATAGCAAAGTTACTATACAAATTGCAGTACACACCCCATATTCATGAAAGGACAAAATAGTTTGACACTGATTGTCATTTTGTAAGGGGAAAAACTCAGGGTGGTCAAATTCAAACTCAACATATTGGGACTAAGGAACAGCCTGTTGATCTGCTTCCCAAAAGTGTATGCAAACCACAACATGAATACTTGATTAGCAAGTTAGGAATGAAGAACCTCCTCCATCCCTCAACTTGAGGGGAAGTGTTGAGAAGTATGTACATTGTAGAAGTTAGCTAGACGGTTAGAAGTTAGTTAGTGGGTTAGTGTACAGCTATCAACAGCTAATATTTTATTCTTTAAGGAGTTAGTAGTTAGTGATGTATGTATATATATATATGTACAGTACATGCTTAATATGAGATTCGATATTTTCCTAAAGGCGGCTCTCTTTCTTTCTTCTTCCTCCTCTGTTCATCTCTGCTTCTCCAACGGTCGTGCCTCTTTAAGAATTTCCTTGTTGCTCATGACATTATGAACGCAGAAAAATGTTTATTCTAAGTTTTTAAGTTGTTTTAATTTTTCAAATTTTCACCAATAGAACTTTGCCTAATAATTTGGAATTTTGAGGTAAGCTACTCACGTCTTCATATATATCAAAAAGATTCTTGATAACAAGAACTAATGTAGTGTATTAAAACAAATAGTTAACGTTTTAGTAACTTGAAAAAACTCTTACCAATATAAAAAACTATTAATAGTAGATATTTAACTAAAAGTTTTATCTCTTCAAGAATATTTTTATTATAAATTATAAACATGAAAGCAAATAAAGAGTTCCCTTTTCCACACTAACATTGGATATACAAAATATTAATTTTTCATGTACTTTAATTTTGATCTTATAGTACATATATTTACTAGTTATATATAATAATATTATTATTATTATTTTGGGGCTTTTAACTCCTGGAGTCTAAACCAACAGCTTTAGTGGTTTTACTCTTTAAAATAGGTTGATTAGTGGAGAAACTAATTTGTAGATTTTTGAATGGGTCAACATAAAGGATGGGAGAAGTACATCGAAAGTAACTTAGAGAAGAACTTAGACATATACAAGAATGCTCTTAAAGGATATGTGAGTGGATGTTGGCTTCAAGAAAAATTCGAAAGGTTTATGAAGTTCGGCATATGTTCGACAACCTCGCGTGAACGGCCTAATCTTCTTTGGAGGAAAGTACCGCGGCTTGCTTGGATGGACTATCAATATTCATTAGGTTTTAAACTAAAAGTAAAGATTTATTAAAGTTATTTTCATGACTCTTGAATAAGAATTTAACATTCTCTGATCAGAAATGTATATAAGGATATCAGTTCTTGCCTTGCATAAACGAAAGAAGGAGAAAGTTCGCATCAATGAAGTTATTTATATATTCAATTGAGTTTTAAATGCAATTAATATAGTTGCATTCAATGTGAAAACTGAGAGTTTCACTACTAGTAATAGTATTATATTGTGGGAACTTCATGTCAAGATGGAGAGTATTATAACCTAATAAGAGTGTAGGGAAAATTAGCGGTCCTTAAGATTAGGGTGATTATTGGAGCAATTAATTTGTGAATTTGTGGCTTTTCCTTGGGTCATTAATGGAGGTGTATTTTTATTCCTAAATGTATTATAATGGGGAGATTATATTCCTTGCTAAGGTGAAGTAGTGTGGAAAGGATTCAGTTATAGGCTTTTATCAATGTGTCAAAAAAATTGGCAATCAAGAAGTTTAAACTAAAAAAGATCATCTGGTTTGACTTTCTTTTTTTTCTTCTTTTTTTTCTATATTACTATTATATTCTAGATTATTAATTTGCTCAGATTTTTAGAAGAAAATACAATTTAACTTTGTCTATTATACCAATATTGTTTAGTCAAGTTCTCTAAGGCTAAAAGTATTTTATTTTAAAGAAAATATTTATTTTTTAAAGTTGAAGTGTTTAACCAAGCTTTTAGGAGGAAAAAATATTTTTGAGGAAAAGCAAAAGTGTCTTTAATTTTTTTCTGGGCAAAAATACCCTTACAAAAATTATATATACCAAAATAATCTTACTCATTTTTTCCTAGTATTTAACTATTCTAAATGCAATTTCTCCTAATGTATAGGTATTGTTTTTTATTGTTAGAATACTTTTCAAATATATGGTGACATTTGAGGTGAAAACTTTTATATTTTTGTTAAAAAAAATTGATTAATAAAATATTGAAAGTATAAAGTACTTTTAAATATTTATTTTTATTTACTATAAATAAAAATTTAAAAACATAATTTTTAATAATAAATATTTAAACTTATTTATTTGCTTAAGTAATATTAAGTAAGTCTTTTCATGTTGATATTGTAATTTGATACTTAAAAACATTTTATGAAAAGCTTGGCCAAACACATATTGATGCTCTAAGTGTTTTTCAAATTGATTAGTCAAACACAAACTGATTTTTCAAACATACTTTTAAAAGAATTAATTTTTGAAAATACACTTTTCAAAATAAGATAATTTTTAGAAACTTGGTCAAACATGCTATAAAACCACAAGTATTTAAGTTTCGGAAATGATAAATGCTCAAGTCACCTTAAATGGTTTTAATATGTAAAGGAATTTTTCATTCCACAAACACCCGAATCTAGGGGTGTTCGTCGGCCGAAACGGTACGATATTTAGATATTTTGGTTCGGTATTTGGTTTCTTAAAATGCAATATCAATACCGTACCCAATTAAATTCGGTATGGTTCTATTTTTCTCCTTTCGGTTTCGGTTTATTCGATTTGAATACTAACTAGTGCATAAAGTCATATACTGTAATATTCTAAATTAAAGTACTCAAAAGTACAAAACTAAAAACATTTGTTGACAAAAGTTTTGTACAAAACTAGCAAATATCAACTTAGAGAGAGAAAAATATACATAAAAGAATAAAATTGATCAATAGAAATATCTTGTTACTTGCTTAGAGTTAATTGATGAACTTAGAGAATAAAGGAAAGTTAAATTTTAGATTTTTATATTTATGTTATAACTAATAATATGTGTATTGTGTAATATAATATAGATTTATGTACAGTACCATACCTAATACCAATATTTTTTAAAACTTAAATCGAATACCAAAATATTTAATACCAAATACCAAAATTTTCAATTTTGATACAGTAATTCGGTATCTACCAAATTATGCACAACCCTACCGAATCAATATGTCAAGGGGAAAAGGCTCTTCAGAAAACGCATTTCAGTTTTTTTTTAAAGGTTTACATTTTGAGTTGCTGGAGTCTCGCCTGGCGGAGGAAGAGGCACCGCCACCGCCACCCCCGCAGTAGCCATCTGTCTCCTCCTTCGATTTCTTCTTCTTCTTCTTTCTTCTGCTGTTGGTGCTGCTAAAGCAACTGTACAATTTTTCAAAGTTTCTTATATTCAGTTGCTTTTTTTTCTTCTTCTGAAATAGTTCCTTGTATGATGAAAGTGGAACCAGATGTTTCTGTAATTGTGAACTTTCTGGCGGAACCAGATTTTATTCCAGCTCGGAGAATATCACTTGCACTTATATGTTCAGCAAAGACATAAACAAAGGATGAATTATTTTATAGGCATAAATGTATATGAGAGTACGAGTTTCATCCCACTTGGATAATTTTCCAATACAATTCTTATTTACATATTCAGAAAGTGGATGAATAGTAGTGGGTTCAATTTATAAGTGTGATTTAGCAGCACTATTTGCTGTAGGAATCGCTTTTAGGCAACTAATTAAGGCAAGAAGTTCATAGTCTTACAGTTAAACAAAACTACCTTCATCACTGTATGGTTGCATTTGGGAAAAACCATTCATATTGTGTAGATGATGTCAATGCTAATTAAAAAAACTTCAGCGCTGAAGTTTTTACAAATGAACTAAATAACTTCAGCATCTTCTGCTGAAATTTTTGAAAAAGCTTATCCAAGACAAAAAAACTTCAACTTATTTAGTGTTGAAGTTTTTATAAATGAACTAAATAACTTCAGCATCTTATGCTGAAGTTTTTGAAAAAGCTTAATGACAAAACTAATGAATCCATGACAAAAAAAAACTTCAGCTTATTTAGTGCAATCACAAACAAAAACTTCAGCAAATATAGATCAAAACTTCAGCTACTATGTTTAAGTTTAGCAATTACAAACAAAAACTTCAGCAAATAAAGAACAAAACTTCAGCTACTATGCTTAAGTTCAGCAATTACAAACAAAAACTTCAGCACACTTGGTTCAGCACATTTGCTACTCCAGGCTCGTCTACTAGAATGCTGAAGTTTTTCGTGATTGCCTTTGCTACTTCAGCCCCGTATGCTGAAGTTACACGAAAAAGTGGGTATGCTTGCAAATTTTTTTGCAAAGCGGGCACAAGTTAAAACGTGACCCAAAAAGCGGGTATAGATGCAAACCCCCCATTAAAATCTCGTTAGTCAGTGTGCACATGTTTTAAGATTTTAATGTATTTCATTCAAACAAATCAAAAGCCCAAAACCCCTAAATCCTAATGGAAAACGTACACTTTATNTTTACAATATATTTAAAGAGTAGTCAATTCACCCAAACTTCAGGACTAAATATCTTGAATTTGGAATTTGAGACTTACCCGTTTGGACATAAGAAATTTTTTTCCTTTTTTCCAAAAAAAAATTACTTTTTTTCCGAAATCAGCGTCTGTTCATAAAATTTCCAACTTTCACTTGAAGATACATTTTGAAAATTTTCAAAAATTTGAAAAACTCCAAAAAGCTATTTTTCAAAATTTTCACAAATCACTTACAAAACTTCAAAAACAACTCAAAATTATATTCATGTCCAAACACAACTCTAAATTTCAAATACTATTTTCTCTTGAAAAAAAATTTCATCATTTTTTGGAATTTTACAATTCTTATGTCCAAACGCCCCACTTAATGTTCTGAATTTTTGAACTGTTAATTTAAAATTTTAGACATAAGATTCGAATTTCTGGCTACAATTTTAGAACTTTAGGGCATGATACCCTAAAGTTTGAACTTTGAGGTTTAAAGTTTAGGGTATCGTGTCCTGAAATTTAAGAGAATTAGTTAATTTTTAAATTTATTATAAATTATAAATATATTTTAAACAACGGGATTAAAAGTGGCAACGTGGTGTCATTTACACGGGCAAAACCCAGATCAACGGAAGTCCAAATCCAAAACGGAGCCCCAATAAAACCTTACTTATATATAGGTAGTCGGCTAGCAGTTCCCCGGAAATTCAATTCAACGCATTGGAAAATTGAAACATCAAGAATCTGATACCCAATTACCTTCTATTGGTATAGATTCATTTGACAGTAATAAGAATTCAGATTTAAGGGTTTTAAGCTTTAAAGCTACAAATACAGAAAGGGAATTAAGAAGAAATGACACAGCCGAGTAAAGAGCCATGTAAGAAACAGGCTTGCGACATTCAAACTTGCCTTTCCAAGAACAATTTCCTTTCTCAAAGGTGTGTTTCCCTCTTTATCCTCTTCTTTTTTGTCTCTTTTGCAATACGTAATTTATTCCTATATTTGCTGTCTTATTATTACTATAATATAATTGGTGCTTTACTGATGGGCCTCATTTTATATGGTTCTTGAATTACAAGTTGGTGCATCTCAGGAATTTGGTTGTACCAATATGCATAAATCTATAAAACCCTGCAATGGCGGTGATATGAAATTGATGTTTTCTTGACAACAATAAATAAAATCTCAAATGTTTATTTCGGCTTCGTAAAAAAGTATATAAATATTACTGGGGTCTTTTCGGTATTGTTTTAGAGATATGTATGCTAGTAGAAGATGTAGAGAAGGACCCCTAATTGTCTTAGACTAAGTTATTGAGGGTTCAATGAAACAAGAATGGAGCAAAATGGATGTTGAGGATTCATATAGGGGAGATTGATGTGTAGTAGTTGTTGTAATGTGTGTGGAGGAAGATTAGATAGAAAGTTTAAATGTTTGGTGCACTAGTAAAGCAAATTTATTGAGAGGTAAAGTCACATTACTTGCTTTTCAGGTAGTTTTGTGTTTGATCATGTGAAAGTGTAGCCTGTTTGTTTGCATACTCTAGCTGAGCTGCCACTTCATTTCTACAAGAAAGCGAAATTCAAAGTCCCTTCTTTCCACTGTTTTGTTCCCCTACGTAGTGATTTAGCTAACAGACGATAATCCTTAGAGATTGTTTTTCTCCCAAAATAACCAGATGGTAAACTCCACCTGCTCAGCATTAGGGCTGTCTAGTTATTTACACTTGATCAATTTTCAGTAAAATATTATTCTTATATTTTCCCCAAGTGATCGTTGGAGCTATCATCAACCGTGATATGCAATCCTTCACATGCATTCTGAAATCGAGATATTCCTTTGAGTCATTTTGTGAACTGAATTAAGAGACGTTATAGCAATAATGAGGCTATCATTTCCTAGACATAGTTGAAAAACCTGACAATGGATGTCATTCTGTATACTCATTTGCTTCATTGTCTAAGGCTTCTTATATGGCAGTACTAGAACAAAATTTCTAACCTTACTCTACTACATCTGGCCACTTAAATTAGGTCTTGATTTGTAGGTAGCTTTTTAGTTGGTTTTGAAATTTGTATGATAGTAGAATAGAGAACTTCTATTTGTTCTTTACATTTATCAATAAAATAAAAAAGAACCTCCAGAGTCCTAGTTGAGAAGACAAATTTTGAGTATTTGAAACGATCCAAATAGAGCAGAACAGATATTAAGGATCCATATAGTTGATCACAATTAGATTAGAATTGAAACGGCAGTGGTTGTAATAGTTGTTCGTGTACTAGACATGCTGCCTCTCTAATGCAATACTTCTATGAGTTCCATCTTAGGCATTTTAAACAATGTTTAAGTGCATGCTTATTTTGTCAGCTACAATTTGGGTTGGGGAGCTACTAGCTCAAGCAGACTACAGAATTATTGTGGAATATTTATTCCAACTCTTGCTTGTGCTAATAGGTGTGTAAAGGTGATCGAAGCACTAAAGTACTGTTGTGAGCAATGTGAATACAAATCAACACATTGTGCTTCTGTCTCTGGGCTTCTAAAGCAAATACAGAAAAAATAGAGTTCAATGGCTACAGTTGGCAGAAGACCACAGATAATACTATATCCTAGTTGTTCTCCGTACCAGAGGAGCCAAAGTGAGTTGCTTTTCAGAAGATCTGAGAACCTGTTTGAACGTTTCTACTGCAATCAAGAAAGCTGGGTCACTGCATAATGTAATCGTATCATATTTTAATTTTGTTTTAAATCCATTAGAAATCCGATTTTAGATATTGAGGACGAACGAACATATGGATGTATTTCAGCAGTATGTCATAGGGAACATAGCTATTGAACCTCACAAGTTGCGTCATACTTAATAAATTGTGGCGATGATGGCCGTGGCACACTAAACCTGTAGATAGACTGCATTATCTCATTTGACCAGCTTGTATAGACGGAGCAAGCTGTTACTGTTGCCGCGCTAGTGTGCCCTACTGCCAGTGCTTTTGAATTTCTTTTACCGAAGAACACTCATTTGCTTGTTCGTTACGAATAGGTTGGTATTTTTTGCCACAAATATGTATCATTCCTATTAAAAAGGTGAATAACTTGGGCAAGTTTGGTTATTGGCAGATTTGATGCTGGAGTCGAGCCAGCCCATTTGTATTAACTGTTTTTTTTTTTGTATTAACTACTAGTTCAATAGGTCCAATTTTAAACTAATGAGTATTTAACCTGTACATTGCAATACCCTGTTAAAGGGTCAGCATCGTCATGTTAAAGTCGAGCAGCTCTCTTTCTTGTGATTTCTTACAGTAAAGATTAAGTGATGAAACACACATCATTCCAGAAACAATTGCTATTCTACACTAGCACTCTGCTCTGGAGTGCATCACTGATTTTGTACTTGTAATAAAGTATAGAACAATTGCAACTCCACAGTTGGTGCTGTTTTCATGGCTTAAAGATGTATAGAATAGCTCTTCCTTTTTACTCACTACACATGACAAAATCAGTCCAATGGAATACAATTGGTGTGTGGTCTCTTCTTGGAAGAACGAGAAGAACAAATGAGGGAATTGTGCAGCTGAATTTGGGTGTGGTAAGAATTGTTTCCTGGACCGGGGTGAAAAGAAAGAGAGGAAAAGGAAAAAAGAGGAAAACAAATATCACACTATGATCTCAAAGATTCTTGCCGCTTCAAAGGAATACCTTCTTGTCCAAAACCATCCTCATCGGTGTGCTTGGGAAGTCGCACAGGTAGCATGGGCGGACCTGTATAGAATTCCATATTTGAACTGTTAGGAACTTTTGGAAAGTAAAAGTATCGAGCATAACTTCTACGACCATATCAACTTAAAACCCACAAGAAAAACTGCATCGCGTACCATCCACCATGTCTTTGGTTTTGTGAAGAAGGAAAGTCCCGGAAAGAATAGTCACAAACCCACACATTTCTGTTACAATTTGTGTTGGATTCTGCCTATCCCAGTCCTGTTCACTCGAGCAACGAGAAGAATCAGAAAATTTGTAGCATATCCCAAGAATTTAGGGTATTTAAAAAGCACAAAAAATAGAAGGGAAAAACAGACCACATTGCTCAAGCAGCACTGGCCTCCTACGTTCAACACCCAAGATCTCAGAAAGTCTAAATGGTTTGCTAATTGGATATGTTCAACTTAATGCTTATCCGGGTCTATAATTCCTCAAAGGGAACAAATTCGAAAAGATAACCATATTTGATGACTCCCAAATGGAAAAGGCATAGGACTCATATCGTGCTTCAGAATACATAGATTGGCCGTAACAGAAAAATCAATTTATAAAGAAACAACCAGGACAAGCAGGAGAAACTTGATATGTCACTAATGTTTTGCAACGTGGACATAAGCATTATCGAGACTGAGTGGAGAAATTACCTTGAACATGATGACGCTTGCCAAAATTGTTAACGAAGTAAACATGACATAGTATATCGGTGAGACGACAGCTGTATTGAATGTGTCAAGGGCCTGCATTGACGATTCACCAAAAAGGGGTGAGGAAGATCACAATGGCAACAGGGTATCTACCTTTTACATGTGAACAATCAGAAGCTTCAATTTTGCGTTATCTGGGGAGAGATGGTTGCTTCATGTGTAGAAGCATACTGAATCTGATCCTAATACACTAGCTGATACACCAAACAATCTAAAGTAAAGCCTTACTAAGCTCTGCACAGGTTTTGGGTTAATGTTGAATGTGAGCGTAATATTTGATATTCGCAGAGTTGATTATCCCTCTCGAAAGCAATATCTGAAGTGGGCTATAATTTACTGTTTCCACTACAACACAAGCATCTGTGTACAAGCCAGTGCACACGTGGTAAGATGTATATCTATTCTGACATTATTGAGGCTCCATCCTTGTACTGTATATTTCTGTCTTTCCAACGTATTTCTTACGTATAATGAATGTTGTGATTTGACTCACAGTACCATGTAAAAGTAATTGACTAGCTCATTTTCCTTTGATATTTTGCCTTTACCACAAGCTTCATCATAGAAGTAAGATCTCAATCCAAAGCGAGCATGATCCTAACCTATATTATCAGCATTCTTAGATCACAAGACATCCCCTAGGAAGATAAAAGTACACCTAAACTTTGAGCCAATACTACAAAAGACAAACAACAATAAAGTGCAACGTCGACTAAGAAAACAACAATAAAGTACAATGTTATACAACATTAAATAAGTCATGAAATCATAAAGAGCTGTGAAATGAAAGTACAGCAGAGAGGCGATATTCTCCTTTATGAAAATGAAGCAAATTAACATTCTAATTGCTTATATTCAATTCAGCAATGAACCAATAATGTGTGACCCCACCCTCTTCACCCACATTAACTATGCTCCAATAGCAAGTAAAGACTAAAGCATGCAGAATTACTAGGAAGAAATTTGCTGAAAAACAAGGAGATAAAAAGAATGAACAACTCTCACCTTATTTAAGTAATTCATTTGGGTGAGAATACAAACAATGACAATCAGAGTAAATGCCCAAGTCTGTGGATATATTAACTGATTCATTCCTGATAATGTCAACTTCAAAGCAATGCCAATTGCTTTGACACTCATAACCTGTTATACCACAGCTGAAATTTCAATTAGAAAATTGCTGTGTGTGAAAATTGAAAAAAAAAAAAAAAAAAGCAATATCATTCAGATAGGACAAAGTCAGACAGTTACAGACACATACCGATAAAGAACCCACTAGCGAGCAAACTCCTATGTAAAACATAATGTGTGTCTGCCCATATTGCGGAAGATAGTGAAATATAAGAACTAGGGAAGTTGTTACCACCAAAGCAGCATAGAAGAGAAAAGCTGCAGGAAAATTGAAAAGTGCTTAAGCTCTAGAAGATTAGATTAAAGACAAAAGAATCAACTAACATCATAAACCATATGAAGCAGGAAACTACCTGGCTCAGTAGCAAGATCCCACACTTCTGTCACAGATTCAATCTCACGTTCTTGTGGAGCATGCAATACAATTGTGATGGAACCCACAACACATAAAGCACAACCTAAAATTCCAAATGTATGTAGCTTCTCCCGCAAAATAATGCGCGCAAGGACGGCACTGGGATTTACAGCCTCATCAATACTCAAAACCATAAAAGTCAAATTTGAACTAGCTACTAAAATTATGCAATACCTTATAATAATACTCAGAGCACCAAGAGGAGTCACCAAAATGGCAGGAGCAAATGCATAAGCTGCAAAATTAGCAACCTCTCCAACAATCACTGTTGGGAATAGCAGCTAAACATTAGAAGTCTATCTTCAATAGGATTAGACAAAGTCCAGATAAAATGAAGAGAGAAATAAACGTTTCATAGATAGACTCTATATCTTAAACGATAAAGCATAAAGAACACTAAGAAACAAGGTGCAACGAACTCCTGATGAAACCTAACTTTCTAATATAGTTCTCCTTGTGTTTATTTAAGAATGGACATAATCATGCTTTTTATTTTGATAACCATGGCCTCTGAGCCAACTTACACACATTTCGACTAATTCCACGGGCTATCTGCTATCTCCATCCAGTAACAAATACCAGGTAACTCTGTCCACCAAGGTTTGGACGTATGGAAAAAAATCATCTAGTGTTTTTGCCTTGAACCTTAGACCTTCTCAACCCACTTCATTGACCACTAGGCCACCGTTTGGGTGCTGTACATAATCGTGCTTTTTAACATGAGTACAAAAGCTCTCTTAGTTTAGTTAGAAAGTCTTTTAACTAAACCTTAGCTAAGCCTAAGTTAGCAATTAACCTAGTAGACGGGAAGGGGACTGCACCTTGCAATTAGTTAATGTACATATCATGAGCATATAAGCAGCACTTCGTATAAATCTGTATATAGTTTTGGCCGATGACCAAGTAAAGAGCAGCCACATAGCTGCCCCATAAAGGAGTGTTTGACCAAAAGCATCTTTATTAATTAAGGTCAAATTTAAAACAGTCATGACTTTACTATTCCATATTCCTTCAGATATTGCCAAGAGAGGGTAACCAACAACAAGGGCCACCAGATTTTGGTCAAATGAACCCAAATGAACCAAACCAGAGAATGTCATTTAATTGTAAAAAATATGCAAGTTAAGGGGAAGCAGCAGCCCCAAGCTTGTTGCAAAAGGGGGCTTGTTCCACTCTCTCTAATCTTTAAAAAGGCGGGTTAAAAGGACTCTTTAATTACATATCACATGCAATAATAGTAGCCAACTCACTTGTTATCATTCCCACCCACCAAAGTGGCTCAAATAGATATGAGTATCCTCCAACTCCTGTAAAAAATATCAATGTCAAGTCACAGAAAATGTGCATCTGAAAGTGGAGATAAAAACATCATGAATTGTAAACCATATTGATGATGCAAAAGCATATAATCACATCTTACTTATACCATTCTGCACAAGCAGTTAGCCTACCAAACACCCTTTAATAAAATGTATAATCTGGAAAAGCTATTTTGACTGCCAAATTAAAAAACGAACATCACATGTCAAAACTTTTAAAGCATAAGTTAACAGGCTATTTAGCATTAAGCATCTTGCCACTAATTATGACCCAAAGCAGCAAAGAATATAAAATCATTCAAACAAATGGTTAAGGTAAAGAACTGGCACCAAGAACCTTTTTTAGTAAAAGAAAACAAATACAAACAGTATCAGCAGTGTTTTATAGATGGGCCAGGTTATTCGTATCAGGCTAGATATCATCCATGAATTCAAAAAGTACCGCTTTGTGTCCAATGTTCACTTGAAACAACGAGATTTATACTACTGTTTCATCTTTAATGGACAACCAAGACCCAAACAGCATAATAAAGATAAATACAATGCAATCATGGCTAAAGTAGCAAAGAGTCTATTATTCGAAGAGGCAAACATCATTCCCAGAATAGGAATAATGCTTGGCAAATGTGTTTCTTGCTGGAACTAAAGGAAGAATTAAGCACTCATGTACAACTCTGAAGGGCATCGAATGAAACAGTCTCTGCCTGAATACCGCAAAACATTCTAACAGTGGCTCCTGTCAATTAGTTAAACAATAGCAGTTTTTTCTCTTGCATTATACTTTCTACATATGACATGTCTAGAGCTTAACTACCTAAAACACATTTATTCACGTTTTAACTTCCAGCTGCTTAGTTGATTTAGCGAAGTGAGTATTTTGCAAGGTAAATGAGACTTACAGTCACATCCGGAACTTCATCAGTCAAATCAGGACTCATAAAAACTTACAATCCTCATACCACATTATACTTCAACACTAGTCTGATTACCAATATAGCCACACAAAAAAAACACTAAATATGACAGGTAATGATCTCCGCGTACTTAGATGATAAAAACATCAATCAACTAAGCACAATCCCAAACTAGTTGGAGTTATACATACATACATTCGCTCTATTCGGGCCCACTCCGTTCCAGTAATTGATAACAAAATCTGAAAATCTGCTTACTCTACAATCTACATATCTACATGATAACTCAAGATCTCAGCCAAGAAAAGACCTTTACAGCTATAGCAACAGTACGTACCATTCATGAGATCAAATTAACACACTACCACATACAACCTAAACCCACTACTAAATTAAACGTAAAAACAACGTATAAGCCTTCAAAAAAGGAGAAAAGGTACCAGCCCTGACGCCAGAAGCACCAGCCTTCTTTAACCCCTTTTTCTTAACGATGAAGCTAGCACCAATAAAGATGCTTGAAGACAATGCAAGTACCAATCCTTTGATATTATCAGATGACATGCCCTTGTACACATCTTTCCAGCTCTGACTAGTACTACCCACTACCTCCGACGCCATTAAACCCAAATCAAGAAGAAGAAAACTTATCCTAAACCCTAAACTTCACTATTCCATTATACACATTGGGTAATTAATTGATCAGTGCAATGACAAAGGGAAAAGACCCAGCTGGGGTAAATACACTGCAACAAGTGTGCAGTGTAGGATCTGTGATATATCAAGAAATGGAAATGGGGAAGTGGGAATTGAAGATCTGTCGGTGCTAAAGCAGAGAGAGAAGGTGAAGAAGGGAGAAACACGGAATGAAGATGAATGTGGGGTGGCTGTTAACAGCTGGGAATTTTTACGGGTGTAGTGAAAGACCAATGTTGATTTGTTGTGTTGGTAGATCGCTGAGCATTGGGGAACGAAAGAGTTTAATACTTCATACTGTATAAGGTTTACCGGAATTTAGGACTCTTCTCCGATTTGGCTTTAGTATAAGGGGGGCGTTTGGACATAAGAATGGTAAAACTTTAAAAAGTGAAAAAAAAAAATTTGACCGAAAATGGTATTTGAAAATTAGAGTTGCGATTTGACACGAATATAATTTTGGGTTGTTTTTGAAGATTTGTGAGTGATTTGAGTGAAAATTTTGAAAAATAGTTTTCTAGAGTTTTTCAAATTTTCGAAAAATTCCAAAATGTATAAAAATGAAAATTTTACAAACAAATGTTGATTTCGGAAAAAAAGTGAAAACTTTTCGAAAAAAAAAAGAAAAAATTTCTTATGTCCAAACGGGTTCTAAGTATTTCTGCAATAAATAGTACTTATCTTTATCTTTTGTTTTATTTTATGTGTCACTGGTTAACTATATAGAGTTTAGAAAAAGCACATATGTGATTTAAAAAAATTACAAGCTGAATAGTTAAGACCATAAAAGATGTAACAAATAGTTTCATTATTAGAATTATCATATCAAATATTTTGCGCGTTCTAAAATAAGAGAAATATTTTATTTATTTTCTTGTTGGCTTTTCAATATAATACATTTTATTTTTTAAATCTTCTTCTATACGATTCTCTTTAACTCTGGAAGGTTAAATTAACGTGATGTAAGAATCAGTAATTCTGCGAGCATGAGCACTGACTGTTTGAAATGCACTTAGCCTACGTAATATGTTTTTCTTTCTCGATTTCATTGAGTTTTATATGCATCTTCTTTCTCAACATTAAATGGCAGAGAATGCTAAATCAGCTTTAATTAGAATTTAATTTTGTTGCAGCTAATGTTTCCGTTATCCATGTAATTTCTGCCAATTAATATTTAAAATGTCAAAATAAAATAAAATGATATACTTGAGAATTTGAGACCGGTTGTATAAATATGAAACTTTGGAAGCATATGAATATGATTTGCATGTAACATAAATTTCATACTACATATATATGTTACGCATAATTTTTAGAAGATAAGTCCAAAATTCACGAGCATTGTATAATGTACTATTTGTATATGTTGTGTGGATTGTAGCGAGACAAAAACATTAGTGATGTATCGACTGCCATGGCAATTGGCATGTGCTTATATAGCTATTTGCATGTGTATAATCTGAAAGTTCTGGGGTTGTTTGGCAATTTTTTCGTAATTTCGGTGTAAATTTTAGAATTATTAATATTTTTTTTTTGTTTTAATTTTCAATATAAGAAATAATTTCAAGTATCTCGGATCTATTATACAGGGTAATGGGGAGATCGACAAAGATGTCACACATCATATTGGAGCATGATGGATTAAGTGGAGACTCGCATCGGGTGTTTTATGTAATAAGATTGTGCCGGCAGAACCTAAGGATAAATTTTAAAGAGTGGCAGTGTCACGACCCGGATTTCCCACTATCGGAAGTCGTGATGACGCCTACTCATGAAAGTTAGGTAAGCCGAGAGTTACAAATTTTATTACCCTTTTACTTAGCCTTTTAACAGTTCAATATAACAGGCGACCAACAGCGGAATAACCATAATAATAAAATAAATGCGGAAGACAAAATCTGGTAATATCACCAAATACTAATACGAAAATCTAAAATACAACTCTACCCATAATTGGTGTCACAATGTCACGGACTATCTACGGATACTACAAACAGTGGTATGAAGGAAAATAATACAAATCTGTCTCTGAACTACATAAAAACAAAATGAAATGATAGAAGGGGACGCCAAGGCCTGCGGACGTCTGCAGGACTACCTCGGGTCTCCGCCACTGGATTGAAGGTAGCAACCTCACTGTGGTCCAAAAGCTCCAGCACCGGGATCTGCACACAGTGCAGAGTATAATATCAGCACAACCGACCCCATATGATGGTAAGTGTCGAGCCTAACATCGGCGAAGTAGTGACGAGGCTAGGACAAGACTACCAAATAAACATGTGCAGTTATATCATATACAACAAGTAAAAATGACAGAATCTAGCAGTTAAAAATGGGAAATGCTCGGGGGATATCATGTACAAACAAAAATTCAGTAAAGAAACATACGGAACACCAAAGTTCAACTATAAGCAAGAATAAGGAAATCAATGACAAGTGCACGACATCACCCTTTGTGTTTTTACCTCATATAATCATGGCACGACATTATCCTTCGTGCATTATCACTCATATCATGGCACGACATCACCCTTCGTGCTTTTACATTTACAATATCGGCACGACATCACCCTTTGTGCATTAACACTCACTCACAAATATCATGTACGGCATCACCCTTCGTGCACATATATATCTTAATAGTTGTTATAACTATAAGCATGATAATGTGATAGCGATAATTTTTACCTTATGGAGATATTGAAAGGTCATTCCACGACATTATATGCATACACTACATATCTATCAAGAATGATGATTTCAAAGTGCAACATATTCATTCAAGTTGGTATGTCTTATTTGTTTATCAAATATCTACCAACGATCTTTTAAAGATGATGCACAAGATTGGAATGCGAAGGCTCAAGCATGTGAATTGATGCTCTCATTAGGGGGAGTTAATAGGCATTGTACTCTTTTTCCCTTATAAGGTTTTGTCCCAATGAGTTTTTCTTCCAAGGTTTTTAACGAGGCAACCAAAAAGCATATTCTAAACATGTGTTCTTTTTCCTTCTTAAGAATTTTTTTCCCACTGAGTTTTATTTTAGTTAAGGTTTTAACGAGGCACATTATTTCCTGAATAGACATTCAATGTGGAGTGTTATAAATAGAATTGTATTTAAGGTGATTGTTTATATTTTAGAGATATTTTAGGGTTTGTTACTTGGTGGCTAAGTCATTTTTTTCCTATAAATAGAGTGATTCTATCATATTGTAATTCATCTCAAATCAATAAGAATTCTCTTCCCGTACTTTTCTATTCAATACTCCTCTTCTTCTTTTATTGTTTTATAGCAACACCTAAAGGCATCTCCAACATTTACCCCATTTTTGATTCCCAAAATGAGGATTTTCCCATTTTGGGGACAACTTACTCCAACCATTTCCCTATTTTTTCCCCCAAACTTTTTTATATTCTTCTTCATCCTCCATAATATATTATTATCTTTCATTTCAATTTCATTTTTTAATTTCCATTAAACAAATTCCATAATTTATTTTTATTAATTTGTAATTTCCATTAAAACAATTTCATAAAATTTTAAATAATATAATTTGTAAGCAATTATTATAGATTAACTAATAATTCAAATAAAAGTGAAATCATTGCGATACAAGATTAATTAAATACATATTACATAACGATAAAATTCATTCAAAATACTACATAAATATTCAACTTCAACCTCTAGTATTCTCTCATAAATGATCTATTAATGCATTGCGAAGTGCAAAATGAGCATATTTGTCCTTAATTCTTCTATGTCGAGTTAAAAATTCTTGAAATCGTTGATTTTTATCTACTAACATTTATACTGTTGGAGTTGGACCTTCCAAATCATCTTGAATTTGTATATTAAGATCACGCTCATTCTCGATTATCATGTTGTGCAGTATAATACATGTAGTCATTATATCATGTAGCATTTCTTTCTGCCAAAAACGTGAGGGTCCTGCAACAATTGCAAAACGTTGTTGCAAAACTTCGAATGCACGTTCAACATCTTTTCGACATGATTCTTGTTTATATTTGCACCATTCATTTTTTGAGATAATTATATATTTTTTATACAATTATAAATTATAATAAAATTAACTTATAATTTTATATAAAAATAATAAATGCACGAAAATTAATGTATCAAAATTATACACCAAAGTTAAAATATAAAATTAATATTATAAAGACATTACATAAACATAATTAGGTATATATAAAGAGATAAATTAAAAGATTAAATAATAAAATAATAATAAAAAAATGACGAATAGTAATGGAGAGATAAACAATGTATCCCATATTTGAGGGAACACTATTCATTCTCCATTTTGGGAACAAAAATGAGAGAGAGTTGGAGCTAGATTACCCTAGAAATTGCCCCCATTAGGGGGAATGGGGTAAGGGTGGAGGTGGCCTAAGTTGTTGAGAGTTTTTGTATAAATATGTACCACTTACTACATAATTCATAAATATTTTAACGTGTTCCAAATTTAAAATTGATATTAAATAATTTATTTTTTAACCCTTATATTTGATAGCAGAGTTAATTATCAAATGTCACATAGGTTCAACACCTGTTTCGAAAATATAGCTTTTACTACAATATTTTTTTTTCCTTGGCCAAACAAAAGATAAAAAGAAAATTAAAACTCCAATAAATGGAACAATTTTCTCATCTTAATTAGCTTCTTTGCCCCAAGGGACCTCGAAGGGTCACAAATCTAAAAGGGGGGAAAAGAAGGTTCACAAAAATCCCACACGTGTGAGCAAATAGCAGTTGAATTGCAGCAAGTGAAAATACAATCGGCTGCATCGTATAAATTCCAAATTAAAGGGAATCGTTCTCTTTGCCTCAAGAGAATCTTCCGTACACCACACGCGCCTGTTACTCTCACTTCGCTTCCACCATTCCAGATCACCCATTCGCGGCGGCGATTTTATCTCTTCCCACCGTCAACCTCCATCTCCGTCTCAATTTCCGCCGGCATTTCATTCGAGCGAAACAAAAGTAAAACATGTCGGCTGTTCAGACGTTTTTCATTCAAGGCTCCGTTTCATCTTTCTCTTCTTCACCGTCTGTTACCACTTGTCGCAAAGTTTCCGTTAAATTCACAGTCTCCTGTTGCTCCGCGGCGTCTCCGGTGACCATCGTGAACGGTAACGTGGAGAAAAGATCTTCCGATAGAAATGAAATTCGTCTTGGCTTACCTAGCAAAGGCCGAATGGCTACTGATACTCTCGATCTTCTCAAGGTATTCGAATTCATTTGTGCATTTGCTTTTTATCCCCTTTTGAGCTAACTAGTTTATATGAATGTGCGTTGCACATTAATACTGTAT